TTTGGACAGAGATTTATTTTTCTCTCACAAAATCAATGTCCTATTGTTGCATTTAATTATATGTTGGGTATTAATGCACTTATTCATGCTGAATTACCTGTTGGAAATAGAGGTTCCGAATTTCCTCAGCACGCACAGAATTCCCTTGATCTTCTTCGAAAGCTGCCCACGTCATCCATGTTACATAGCTTTGAGAATTTATGTTAAGCGAAGACCTAAATAATCTTCGTGCTGCAGATAAATTACCGACCCTCTGCTCTAAAACACCCCAAGCCTGCAGTCAAAAGAGATAGCCATAGGATCACAATGGATAAACTTGAACCTTCAATCGAAAGTGATTTTAACAAATTAATTAAATCTAGAAACTATTTTCTCTGACTTTATTGCGGAAGAGAAAAATTTATTCCACGTCATTAAATTAGAAAATCTTCATGGCTAAAATAAAAAATGTCCAAGAAAATAATCATTTCCCATTTTCCAAGAATTTGGTGCCTACGCACAAACTGAAAAAAGTAGAAGCTATTAAAATACAATAATAAGTATTGCATCCATAAAGCTATCTGCTTATTGAAGAAACTTGTATAGTTTGTGACATGATCAAAAGAAGACTGAACTTTCGGTTATTCCCTTAGGCACGGCCGTACATAATATAAAAATCACACTTGGATAAAATTAAAAAAGAAAACTCAAAAGCCAGCGAAATGTTATCTTCCTCACCTGAAGGCAGCGTGCAGCGCTGTCGCTAGTTGAATCAATGGACAATGCTTTTTGGTATAATTCCCTAGCCGTAGCTAAGTTTCCTTCTTTCCATTCCATCCATCCCCAGGCCTAAAAATCAGCCCAACTTTTAGTTAGCTGTAGGATGATGTTTAACAAAAACAAGCAAATCAATCTTCAGACCTTCTAGAACCTAATTCAGTAGAAGAAAAAGGTAAGAAGAGAAAGAAGGGATGAAGGTCACAGCATTTTTTTTTTTTTAATAAAAAAGTTCAGAATTCATAAGTTCTTGTTATGGAGAAGAAATATCTTACAATCCACACAGGTTGGTGCCTTGGATCCAGCTCAGATGCCCTCCGAAACAAAACTCGTGCTACATTTGCAGTTGAGTATTTGTATTCCAATAGTGCAAGCGATTGAAGAAGGACGGGATCTCTTGGATTCACTGCTTGCCCTATCTTCAGAAGTTTCTTTCCTAAATCGACATTACCTAGGTTAGCTTCAAAGACTCCCCAAACATGCCATGCAAACCTATTCTTCGGACTCGCTTGCACTGCTTTCTGTATCATTGGAAAGAAGTTTTACTTTTACGACAAAAGCGAAGTAAAAACCATGTGATGGAACAAAAAACAAAAATGATATGGCAGCACTAAGTGCTGACATGAAAAGGAAGGTTTGATTTGTGTCTTCCCCTCTTTAGGAATTAAGTCCTCATCCCAATCCCGAGGGAAATAATGAAAGAAACGAAAAACAGAAATGAAGTAATGCTATGACCACCCGTTGCTTTAGATTTTTCAC